GATTGTCATAAATCAGTGTATGGATCTTTTTCCATAAATATAGCCATAAAAATGGGAAGACCATAAAAAAAAAAATTGTTTTAATATAAATATAGCCTAAAGAATAAACTCTGAAAATTTCAGAAAAAAATGAGGTGGTCGTGTAACCACTTCTGGATGATTTGGCATATATTGACCCTAATTTTTTTTTATCTATTCATTTTAAATGTGTTAATTTACTATATGACAGTAATTTGATTCACTGTCTGATATGAATCAATACTAATCTAAAAAATTATCTCAACTACACTGGAACCCGACTAAAAATTTTGTCTTGTATTAAAATGGCATACAGTAATTACAACTAGTCAATAATTAAGTATAGTAAAACACTAAGTGGCATATATTTTATTTAACGCTATTAAATAAACATTTAAAATAATTTTTATTCAGGTGTTTTGCAACAGATGTTTTTAAAACAATTTGTGCTTAATAAAAAGCAAGAGTAAAATAATCTTTTGAAAATACAGAGTGTTTCATTTATCACGAACAAATGAATAATTTGAAAAATAAAAATAATATTGAGAATCTTTTTTTTAGTTTCTTATAGGTAGGGAGAAATTATGGCTGTCCTCACAATACTTTTTATTGTTTAAATTTTATGAACTACTTGAATCACAAACAATTTATTCTTCAATAATCAGTAAAATAACAAAATGCGACATTATTTTGGCAGTATTATTTATGAAAATGGTTCACTAGTTATCATTCAAAGCATACATTTGGTCATAGGTGAGATGCTGGCAATTGACGGGGCTTTATTCTACATGTTTTTCTCAGTTTATCAATCATGAACTATTTTTGACGTTCATCTATTTTATCTCATAAAAATAAATTTTATTTTAATTTTTCAAGGAGACATATTTAACTAGTTTAATTGACAGATAGTAATTTAAAAATATACTGTTCGACAACAACTATTGAAACAGTATTTCGAAAGTTATAAGCATTTTAAAATAAAGACATGAGGTGGAGCTGCGGATATTATTTCTATCCTTAGTCATTTCTCAGACGAATTCTTCCTCGCGCCTAAGTATAAAAATATCATAAACTTACGAAATTCTGGACCGAAATTTGTTTTTTACCAGTCATTTTCATAATGAAATCATTGTCTATTGAATAAACTAGTTAATTATGTATGTTGCCATTTGAAAAAATAAAGTTAACACTCTTATGAGGTATAATGTAACAATAAATACCTAGTGATTATTAAATTGAGAAAAAAGTGTACCTAGAAGAAATAAAAAAAAACATTCTCAATAATATTTTTACCTTTCGATGAATTAAGTGGTTTGTGATAATTTAATCACCTTGTAAATATATATGCATAAACGGTAGTGTCTAATATAACATAAATCGTTGCTACTTGTTACTTTGAACAAAAGCAAAAATTAACTGCATCATCTGTCAAGGAAAATAAATAAAAACTAACGTCATAGACTATAAAGTCTGTGCTAACGTCTGAAATTTTTTTTTTTAAGCATTGGTTTATTAATTACCCGCATTTGAAACGTTATATTGGTTGTCGACAACATTTGAAGTACATCACTACAGTTGCAGGTGTATTGCAATAAAAACCACTGCGGTGGTCTGCAATACATTAAGTTTCTAATGTAAGTTTTGATACTGACTATTTTTGTATATAATACATACATTAATAGTAAAAACTATTGATTGTATTCATTAACAGAATATTATTCTATTTATCAACACTAAAAATATTTTAATTAAACAAATACACTGTGTCACCGCTAAAAATCGTGGGGCCAGAAACAAAAAAATGTCTGTCGGCTCTTATTTATATTTTTACAGAGAAAACAATATAACAATGTTTAATGAAGACATTTTTTTAAGCGTAGAATCTTGTACTAGGGTCACCTAACAAATTTCTCGTGTTTGTATAAATGAATCATTTTTAATAAAAATTTATTATCAATAAAACGGAAAAAACTTTTTTATAACATTTAAAACGCTTAAAAACGATATAGCTGTAAAATGATAAACGTTAAAATATCAATAAGATATTTTCTGTCTAATCATTAAATAAAACTTTATTTTGTTTGATTAGAAGTTGATAAGTAGAACAATTTAGCTTATACTAACAGTTGAATTATATAACATTTATTGTTTTTTTTTTTTAAATCAAAGCATTGTTCCTTAGCAATTAAACTAGGGTTGTTACATTTTAAACACATAGTGTCTAAAACAATATTTTAAACATTATTAAAACACCTAAAAATTTAAAATTTCATTGGTCTTAGAGGGCATTTCAAACAAGTTTTTTTTTTAAGTATTTTTTATCAACCCTGAATTAAACAAATTGGTAGAATATATAACTAATTAACTTATAGTTATATAAGTAATAAAATTGAACGAGTAATAATATTCCACAGGTACACTTAATGAATGACTTATACGATGTATATAAGAAATGATTAAATTACTGATATTATACATTTGAGAGTAACGGAGAGATTGAGAATTGTAGATAGAGTAGCAAAGTAAAACCATTGGATTTTTTCAAAAAATTTAAGTTATTTTTAAAGTAAAAAAAAAAAAAAAGATTATTTTAAATTAAAACATATTAGTAGGAAAACGTTTGATAAAAATATATTGTTAAAAAAATAAAACCAAATGTTTTAAAACTAACATGTAAACAGAAAGAAATTTCTATTTCCAGTCCTGAATAAAAGAAAATTTTAAGTAGACCGGATTGAAAACGAAATTAAAAATATTCCTATTGTTTGTTATTTTTATTATAAAATCGAAAATTATTTTCTCATTAGCGTGACTCACTTTCTTTACAAATTTCAATTAGCCCTCCAATTTAAAATTGCATTTATATTGTTATTAAATAAAAGTTCAGTGGTCTCTTAATTTAAAATTTTCTAGGTCCTTTAAAAATTTGATCGAAACTCAACCAATAAGTTTTTCTGATCATACCTTATTGTACTACAAAATCAAAAAATCAGTTTTGTTAATATAAAGTTATTAGTTATAATTGCATGCGTTTAAATTTTATTTTATTTTCTAAAACTACTGAGTAGTTTTTGTTGGCTTAATGCAATTTAATTAGTATATTAAAAAAAGACATTACTATTTTAAATATTCCACCTCTACATACCGTAATTTCAAATCATTATTATTACGTTCCAAATATCAATTATAAATTTTATTGAGTTATTCCTAACACACAATTAACCAAGAATTTTTTTTTATTAATTGTCTTGAAAACTTATTCAATTTTGTTACTCGGGTTATAGTTTGGGAAAAAAGAATTGTCCCTTCTTAATGAAAAATAATTCTAGCGTACTATATACAAAGGAATATATTTAACAGACAACTTTTTATACAATTAGAATTTTTTTAATAATTGATACATTCTTATACTACGTTAAAATCATATTTTAGCTTCGATGCGAAGCCCAGAAGGTATTAATTTTACTATGATAGTTTTTTTTTTGTGTCTGTTACCACTTTTTTTCAGCTCTCACCAAACCAATTTCTTTCAACGATACGTCAAAAGATCACAAATCGAATCTAGTCGAGGACATTACCCTCAACAATTGAAAAAATTTTCCTCGTTCCCCGTAAATGTAAGAAATCTTCAAAAAAATTACAATTTTAAAAATCGCTAATTTTCAATTTTTTTTAACTTAAAACTGCCATAACTTTATCAAAAATGACCAAATCAATATGATTTTTTTTTTATTGATACATGATGTCTTTACATATCATTTAATATATTTTTTTTATAAATCTCGATAAATATATCGACTTCTTTTTTTTTTAAAATCAGACCATTTCTCTTTATTTAGTTGGGTTCTAACTTAAAAATATATACATAAAGTAGAACTTTTTCAATTTATTCTTAATTAAAATACATTTATTGATTATTATTCTTACATAACTTAATAATCAAACATAAATATTTGTTATATTAATTAGAAATCGCCGCAAAAATGGGTTTATGAAAATATATTTTGGTCTCTGATGATAATTCCTTGTAGACGAGTAAATTTATATGTTACATTATTTTTTTTAAGTATTGCATCAAAACCTTAAACTTTTATATACGTTTGACATAAATGTAAAACTACTTTATAATTTTTTATAATTTCTCCGTAAAAATTACAATACTAAATTATTAAATATCAATTTCATACCATATATTACCTTATAAATCATAAAACTTGTAATCAAGATATAAATAAGGAAATAAGAGATCATGTTGCTTTTGGAATAATCCACAAATTTTTTTAAATTAAATACTATCTACAGATTTAAATCGAAGCGTTTTTTATGATAGTGATTTTAAACACTGTCAGATTAGATATATAATGGACCCAACTATGGCACGCCATACTGTGATATTTTTTTTTTATATTTCATCTTTAATAATAGTAAAAAATTATTTGACAAATTTAAATCCTGCCCCCTAGTTATTATCTTCGTAATAATAATCTCCAAGTACCCAAAGTAAATATTTACATTTATCATGAAAAAAAGTATCAAAATGTAGAGTTAATACATATTTTAGGAAGTATTCTTAATTAAATGACTACATTTCTAAGTTATTTCCATTAATGAAGCATTAAAAAAGGAAATTTGTCTTTCTTAAAACATTAAGCAAGTACCTAATTTGTTAAGTAGAAAAATATTTTGTATTCTGTTTTTGATAGATTCCAATTTATAGTACTTTAGATCATCAATTATCTTTTATTTGTAGAAGAAATTAAGTAACAAGTTTTGTGGGTATATGAGAATCGATCCCATGCCAGTGGGGTATTAGGAAATATGTAAATTTCCTAAAATTTTAATTAAATATAAATATGTATATATTAATACATATAATATATTAATTAAATTACTTATTTAATTTTAATTTTAAATTAAAGACAAATTATTATTAAAAGCAAGACACACAATAAAACTATAAAAAATATATGATTAAACATTAATGCAAACCTATTTTATTTTCATTTATAATTTTAATTTTTGAAATATATACACATATTAAATAACACAGATTAAGTATTTATCTTTAATAAAACCATATTAATAACATAACCAGGCAGCGATTAAACAATATGCTAAAAAATTACCAAGAAAATCAATTAAATAGTTGTTTTACATTAAAAAAATTACTGAATATTTAATGCACATAAAAAATACAATATAAAATTTGGAATACATATCAATATAAAATGAATTAGAATACAATAGCAGTTTTACAATATTCATTAGACACAAAGGACACATTTAAAATTCCAGTCATTTTTAATCATAATATAGTTGAATATCTACAGAGGAGCTAATCATAAAGAATAAAAAGAAAAAACACCAAATAAAACATAATATTCACACTTTACAAGTTTTTAGAAGAAATGTTTATAATGATTATTATGAACATTTTTTTCACAAATGAAAGCATGCTATATATATAAATATAAATATGTACATATACATGTATATAAAATACGAAATGAAAATTTTTAAGATTGTATGTACAAGTATATAAAAAAAAATTACAGTACATGTGAATTAGGTTACAATTATGTTATAATAGTTCTAGATATAAAACTAGAAAAACATTAACAATGTATCACTAGATAATTTCTTCAATGTTCTTCAAAAAATATAAGCTTTGTGTTATAAAAGGAATATTTAATCAATATTTTATGTACATTGAACTGGAATTTTTTTTAGTTCTAGAAGTGCTGCTTTAAAAAGTGTTTTTCTTAATACCCATAAAATAAAAAAATATGAAAAGTAATAAAGTATAAACAAAAAAAAAAAAAATACAGTTATTAATAACTAAACCAAGGTTAGAGTTGACTTAGTCGAATTGTAGTTTAGAATTGCTAAGTAAAGGTTTGCGAGCAACTTTATAAAATGTCCTGAAAATAATTAAAAATGCAACACAATTATTAAAAAATGATAAATAGATACTTTATCCAGAACTTACTCATGAGTATATTTTTGTTTAATGGTAGTTAAACCTGTATGTTCTGTATGTAACATATTATTCAAAGCAATCACTGTACCTTTGATATCATGTACATAATATCCTATAAAAAAATATTTTATTGATCAAACTGAAAGAAATATTTTAATAATTTTGTTTGAAATAATGATTTAAAAGCATAATAATAATTTTAACACTAATATAAATAGTTCAATAATACATAAAATAAAATCATTCTGGAGTTACATAAGATAAAAATAAACTCGAAAATAATATTATATTCAAATTCATTCAACAATATTACCAGCTCTAAATTATAAAAAATATTCATATAAATAAACAATATACTACCTCCTAATTAGAAATATTCAAAATCATTAATAAATATAGAGATATCTAAAGTACAACATGTAATCCTATATTTAAAATAGACATAACAAACATAGAATAAGTACAAAACAATATTTTTAAATACAAACTTAACACAGATAATAACAAACAAAATGTAAATCTATCATCTCTTAAAATTAGATGATTAATTAATTTCCAAAATTATAAATGAAATTATTTAACCATGTATTTGTAAATAAAATATTAAACTAACCCGTGTACTTATAAAACTCAGTATGATTGAGTGGCTTTGAACACATTTGAAAAGCTAAGTATAGTGCTGATGCGCCTTTAAGTGAGTCTTTAATTGTTACAAAACTATACTCCATGAGACAACGTTCTAGAATATACCTTGCTAATGTTAGCATCACCATTGGTACTTGCATACACTAATAAGTAAAAAAAAAGTTAATCATTAAAACTACAAAAAAAAAAAAAACTATTATCTGTATTGATATATAAAATTTTTAAAAGAATGAAGCTCTATTTTTAAATCTATCTGCATTAAATTTTTATAATATTACAAGTATTGTGGCATAAATATTACATTACAAATATATGACATTACTTACGATAGTGAAATACATGTGTCACTTTTTGACTAAATTAAACTTAGAAAATTAATAATAAATTTTATTTATTATATTTATTTATTTCATAAATATTTTTTATTTAAATTTTGATGTTTATTTTAAAATATGTTAAAAATAATTAAAATACTATTCAAACACAGGGCGTATTCAATTTTAAACTTAAATTGAATAAAAAAAATAGAAACATATTCAATAATTTTTTAATACCATATTAATAAATATAATTTCAATAAAAATAGATAAAAAAAACCATGAGTATTATGAAAGATATATAATATAGGGGTGCTCAGTAAATAAGGTAGGTAAAAGATTCTATTGTTCTTATTGTTTATAACAATTAACCTGTTTCCTTACTTACTAAACATTCTGTATATTTTATTATACGATCAGTTTTGACAATTGTTATCATCAAGATATATTAAAATAAAAAACTAATCATTGAATTAATTAAATAAACGAATAAATACATAAAGATATACCTAGGTATATCATTGAAAACATTAATTATGATAGCATTTCACTTATCTGCTAGAGTAATTTCAGTTTTATTTTTTTGAAGTATATATGCAATACTATTAATTATTTTATTATGATAAAAATTCAAAAAATTTTCTTTCACAATGTTACTAACATAATTATTGTACAATTTTTAAGTGCCTTCAATTAATTTAAATCTTGTTTGGTTTAGATTTTAAAATATTATTAAGCCTGTAGTTAATAAGAAATTCACATTGTATCATTTGATTTTTCACAAAACTCGAAGTTAAAGATTAAAAAGTAATAAACTTTTCTATTTAGTAAATTAATTTATATTTTATTAAATATAATTAGGATTAGATATGTTATACCTGATTGAAAGATATTATTCTTTATCTTCATAAATGTTTTGATTATTTGGCAACTAAAATACCAATTTTTTTTTTTTTACTCTACTCTATTTCTTTATTTACATTCTATTCTAGAAATTATTTTTAAATGAAATTATTTGTATCTGATTTAAATGTTACAGTAAAATAGATTTATAAACATTTTTAGTAAACAGAAAAAATAAAATGGATTTTCTTTCTTAAAACTCTACATAACATTTAGATAAACTGTGTACTAACTATCCTTTTGTTATTGTTTCCTTTAATTATTATGTAAATAGCTAATTTATTGTAAATTTTAATATCGTCTAAAATACAAGGTGATTGTTGAATTATGACTGACACAATAAACATAATATATTTTTTTATTTCAAAAGGTATTAGTGTCCTACATTTTAAGATTAATATATATATGATTGGCTAACTATGTCACAAGTAATATGTTAAAAAATACAAGTGTTATAAAGAATTTTTTTTTAGTCATGGATCATTGATGAGGTGTGTTCACAAGAAAATTTAAATTTCTACCATCATTCCTTATGATTAAAGCTTGTATCAACTTTATATTTTTAAATGCAACCCTATTTTTTTCTACACCATTAGATTTAGTTTAATAAAAAAAAAATATTTCATTTTATTTAATATTAAGTGCTCCACGGTTCTCTAAAGTTTAGGGTTTATTAAGAAAAAATTATAACAGACTCAAACGTCATATGTCATAAATCGATAAGCGCTATTCTGACTATGTTACGTTAACGCAGTAAACCGGTAGCTCTTATCGCTACATTAAATAATAATGTGACAGTGTTGGAAAAACTACTGAATTTTTTTATCAAATATAAATAAATTTTAAAGTAGCATATCTTATTTAAAATTCATAATTTTTTATTTTTGCTAAATATTATTTTTTATGACAAACAAAAATATATAGAAATAATATAGGTTGCCATTTAAAAATATGAAGTCGATACAAGCTTTAAGCATAAGGGATGGTCGTAGAAATTAAAATTTTATTGTGAAACAACTCATCAAAGATCCATAATGATTAAAAAAAAATTGTATTTAAAAAACACTTGTATTTTTAAAGGTATTACATGAGATATAGTTAACCAATCACCCTGTATACATATATAATCTTTATATTGAAGTGTTAATAACATTCATAAACAAATTCAAAAATTGTTATAACAATAACTTTTTTAGTTAAATTATTATTTTTTTATTTTTAATTGGTTAAACATTTATGTTTTCATTAAAAAAAAAATTGTTATTATTTTAAAGGGATAGCACCAAATTTTTTTTTTATGAAAATTATATAATATAGGTTTATACTATTAACTTCTGAAAGAAAACATTATACTACGTTTTATATTTTTTAAGTTATTGTGTCACTTATAATTATACAACCACGCAGGGTACACATGTAGCCATTGGCTTCTGTTGCCATGGTTTTTATTTTAGATAATTTTAAAAAATATTTTTGTATTTTTTAAAATTAATATTATAGGGATAATAGGTTTACTCATTATTTTAAAATAGTACTTTTGAACAAATTGTGACATATACAGATTTCTTTGAAAAGCCTTTAATTGTTTAATAACTAGATCAACTATCCTATATATTCAATTGTACTTACTCGTGCAAAACGTCTTAAAAAACAATAAGACATTGGAACATTTATGTCAAAATTTAAAGCTTTAAAAAGTGTTCTTTCTGTAACAAATAATTCATCCTCTGTAAATATAAACCTGCTTTGTTTGACTAAATCATAAGGCAACCCTGGTTCTCTCTCCTACACACAAAAACATTGAAATCATTAAGTAATAAATCTATGAATTAAAAATATATAGTAATATACTTACATCAATCTTACTAGCCAATAATAAAGCAGCTGATGCAAGTAGTTGGAATTTATCTTTGGGTGTTTCGTTTTTTATTAAGTATAAATCAATTAATTTAACAGCCATATATAATACTTCATGATTTAAACCAAAATTTTCTTGAAGATTGACTAACCAGTTAACAACAATCGCTCGATGTCTAGGGGTTAATTCACTTTGGTCACTTATATAGTCAGTAATAACAAATTGTTCCTAGTTTTAAAAGAGAAATATATAATTTTTACTTCAAATAGGATTTAAAAAATATACTTCTCTATTCCTAAGATACTTAAAAATATCTCTTGCATAACATCCTACAAAAACAAAGTTATTCCAACTGGTCTGATCTATTTCAAAAATTTCTTCTTCTTCTTCTACTTCTTTATTAGAAGTAACACTTACAACAAATAAAAAAACATATCAAATACTTCAAATATTTAAAATAATTTTTTATCAAAATATTTTTTGTTCTTACATTTCTTGAATAGCAGATTCATATAATTCTGAACTATTACTGTTCACTAGAGCTGTACTACTACTGAGGCTACTTTCAGTAGCGGATAGAAACAATTCATCAGATTTTCTTTGTAATTTAGAATCAATTGATTCTTCAACAGCCGATTGATATAAAGTGCTATCTTTTGAATTATCCAAAGATGATGAACAAACACTATGGATGACATAAGCAATAATTCAATAAGTTACAAAAACAAAATATTGAACAAAACAAATGAAACTATCTCAATCATCTAACCCAAGCATTTAAAACCCATTAGACATAAGTCTTCAAAATAATTTTCATGTTTTAAAATTTTAATTGCTAAAAATTCTAAAGCCATAATTAGCATTTGGGAATAAAACTATTCATAGGGTTTGTTTTAATGATTCCGAGTTGGAACGATGGATATATACATTTGTTATTCTTAACACTAGACAACAATATATGTTAAATAGTAATTTAGTCGTAGGGGCCATAGTTATTACTACCTTAGAACAAAAAAATGATAATTTTTGACGAATTTGGGAGTGTTGGAAGTAGGGCAAACAAATTAAAAATATTAAAAAGTCCTAAGCCTTGCTTAAAATATACGCACCAGTTATTAACTTTAAATAAGTAAAATTAAAACTATATTATAAATATTATTAATTTAAAAAACTAATAAATATTATAAATATTAAACTCAAAGCCACAAAAAATTAATGTTAAGTCGCGGATACATATTTCGGAAACAATGTTACCATTATCAACGCTAAACACATACTATGTATTAGGGTGGTCCTTAATCATATAAGAAGAAATTTTTTATTAATATTTTTTACACAGTACCCTCTAGATTGGTTAAATACTATTAAAATGTAATGTAGGTAAAATTTGGAAGTTTTTATTCAACCCCTTCTGGTGCCGCATTAGGGTTGAAATATGGCACTTGATGGGTGTTTTTGCTTTTTTTGTGTTTAACTCGACAACTATTACACTTAGCGCTAAAATGAATAGAATATTAATTATAGAACTTATTATTGCCTACAAAAAAGAAAATAACAATATTTTTCATAAATTCATTATATTTTGAGAAAAATAACTTAACATAAAAATTTTTCAAAATTTATCATAAATATATTTTTTTAAATATTTTAATATTTTTACTAAGTGGTTGAAGTTTTATCGAATTTTTCCTTTAAAATTGGTTTTAGTCATATTTCCTAAAAAAACTCATATTATATTTCACGTTAGTGCAATTATATATTGATGTATTAGAATTTATGGCGCAAAAATCAAATATCAGTTTACCTGTACTGTTCTAAATGCTATACTTATTATTTTGAACGTGTGGAATTTACTGTGATTATCCATAGAAGATAAGAATTGTGGCATTATTGTTGTTTGTGTAATAATAGGTAACGATAAAAGTTCTTACCAATAATCATTTTTCATGGACTAATATCAGATATTTTCTTGTAATTTAGTTTTTTGCTTATTATTGTGTCAAGTTTTAAGATTTGTTAAAATATTAGTTTAGTGATACAGTTTTTTTGAAATTTTATTTTATTTAAATATGTCACGTAACCAAGTGTATTTAGTAGGAGCAATGAATTATCAAATTACTGGAAGTAAATTACCTTCAGTTAAAAATGTTTTGAGTGTATTGTATTATAATTTAAGATTTGTAAAATTGAATTTGCATGAAAGTGCGGCGCTTGCTGTTGACGAGTGTCTAATTTACTGGAAAAAAGCTCGAATACCTACGCAAGATCCAGCTAATATTATAAGAAAATTAAAAAAGTTTTACGATGAACTGAGAAATTTAGAGAAAAATAAAACCAGGACCAGCGACTTATACAAGAAAAGAGAACAAAATTTTGTAGACCAAATCGAAGAATTGTTTGATATAGCTCATGCTAATGCAATCAGTCTAATGAAGATCCAGGAAGATATTGATTTTTTGCGACTTCAACGAACTAAGGGACGTCCCGGATGTATGATGGGAGTAGATATGAATTTAACCCAAGCAGAAAAAAAAATGCAAATAAGACAAGAACAGAAAAATAAAATACTTATACCTCACTCAGATACAGAAACTTTATTAGAAGGTAATTTTTAAAAATAATGAATGTTTAATAAACATTGTTTATTATATTTTTAATAATTATATATGATTTAATTTAGAAAAATATTCATGTACTTCATCGGATTCATGTGATATGGAAATCGTAAGTGAAGAAGAGAGACAATTTTCACCAGTAGCAGGTCCGTCAAAAAATAAAAGAGGTAGAAAAGAACTTTTAACTTCTAGATTATCTGCCACTCTTGATAGGTGTAAAATAAGTGATAGGGATGCTGTTCATTTGTTAACTGCATGTTTGGATGCCTTATCATTAGATCCCAGCATATATGTTTTAAACCGATCGTCAATTAAAAGGTCCCGTGAACATTATAGACAAAAAATTGCAGAAAATATTAGTTCTAAATTTCATGAACAAAATTTGAATTTTGTTGTGATCCATTGGGATTCAAAAATGCTTCCAGACCTTACAGGGAAAAAAAAAGTCGATCGCCTCCCTATTATTGCAACCGCCTTAAATTTTGAACAGCTTCTTGGAGTCCCTTATATACCCTCTGGGAAAGGTTTAGAAGTATCATCAGCTGTCTATGACGCTTTAGTCAAATGGTCACTATTGGAAAAAGTACAGGCTTTCACATTTGATACTACGGCCTCTAATACGGGAAGGTTGAATGGGGCGTGTTTTTTGTTAGAGCAACGTCTTGGAAGAGAAATTTTATTCTTAGCATGCCGACACCATATTTATGAACTTGTTTTACAAGGCGTATTTTCAGATACCAAATTATGTCCTTCAACCGGACCAGAAATATTATTATTCAAGAGGTTTCAACAAGAATGGGAAACAATTGATAAAACAAAATTCTCTACATCAATTTCTGATACTTATGTTCATAATATTTTAAAAGATGAAGCCGATGAAATTATTTTATATGCAAAAAGTAAAATTACTGAATATCTCCCCCGAGATGATTATCAAGAGTTTTTAGAACTTGTTATTATATTTTTGGGCGGTGTTCCTCAAAGGGGAAATGCTTTTCGAAAACCGGGTCCTTATCATTTAGCCAGATGGATGGCTAAAGCAATATATTGTTTAAAAATATTTTTGTTTAAAAATCAATTTAAACTAGACAGCAGAGAAGAAACATCATTAAAGGATATTTGTTGTTTTATTGTAAAATGTTACGTTCAAGCTTGGTTTTCATCTCCAAAAGCTATAGAAGCTCCTTTTAATGACATATTATTTCTTAGAAAATTAGAATCTTATAAATTACAAAATAAAAAAATCGCAGACGTGGCATTAAAAAAAATAACTAATCATTTGTGGTATTTAAATCCAGAATGTATTACTTTTTCCTTATTTGACAATCGTATAGACTATAATACAAAACGCAAAATGGCTGAAAAAATTCTAAGTTATAATGATGATGATGATGAAGAAACTAATCTGAATAAAAAGTTAACTCTTACACCAGACGATGTCCCCAATTTTCTTCAAAAAGACCTACCAACTGATTTAATAACTTCCAAATCAATTGAAATGTTTAAGCGGTTTAAAATTCAAACAAATTTTTTAAGCATTGATCCAGCTTATTGGAATTATCAGGAAGACTTCAAAACAGGTAGAGAAATAATCAAATCATTGAAAATAGTTAACGACACAGCTGAGAGAGGAGTCAAGCTAATGGAAGAATATAATGATAAATTTACTAAAGACGAAGAACAAAAACAATTTTTATTGCAGGTAAATTTAACAATTTTTATTTTTAACTTAACTTAATTATATCGTTTAAATTTTTAGACCGTCCAAGACTATCAAAAAAAATATCCAAAATGTGATAGAGAAACATTAAAAAAAATATATTAAAAGACAAATACTAGTTCCATGTAGATAAATGTGCTATGAATTTTGTAATAATTATGTGTTGATAGAATGGATTATACATTTTTTTTTTTTTAATCTTAGTTAATATTCATGAAATTATTATATAGTTATTTTATACAATTTTTTACTTAGCTTTTTTTTTTAATATTAATTTTATAAAAAAAGATTACATGAAAATTTAATGAAATTTCAACCACTCAGTAAAAATATTAAAATATTTAAAAAAATATATTTATGATAAATTTTGAAAAATTTTTATGTTAAGTTATTTTTCTCAAAATATAATGAATTTATGAAAAATATTGTTATTTTCTTTTTTGTAGGCAATAATAAGTTCTATAATTAATATTCTATTCATTTTAGCGCTAAGTGTAATAGTTGTCGAGTTAAACACAAAAAAAGCAAAAACACCCATCAAGTGCCATATTTCAACCCTAATGCGGCACCAGAAGGGGTTGAATAAAAACTTCCAAATTTTACCTACATTACATTTTAATAGTATTTAACCAATCTAGAGGGTACTGTCTTAAAAAAATTGAGTTTGAAAAATAAGGACCACCCTACTATGTATGTGTTAAAATATAAAATTAAAAATCTTTAAAATTTAAAAATCAAGTGAGAAATAAAAATACATTTTTTCTAATCTATAAATATACAAATGATATACTGTATAATATTATACATCAACATAATACATTTAAAAAATATTCTATTTTATTTTTTAATGTATGGGAGAAGAAACATAATGAGACAATGAATTTACAATTTTTTTTATTTCAAACAATTTTTTAGATACCTAAGTTTTTTTTTTTTTAAGCAATCGAAAATTTAAAAAATAGGTTAATAATTTTAATTAAGTTTATTTGTGATTAAAAAAAAATGTACAGTGTCTCATTGTAGCCCCCATCAGCAGTTCAAAATAGGACGAGTTGTGTTTTATAAAGGGACAACACATTAGTTTTTAAGGAACTGAGTAATCGACACCATATTGATTACTTTTGTAAAACATAATTTTTAGCACAGATCAAATTTTAAACCTTCTATACAAATAAAAGTAAATTAAAACATTCAAAAATATTACAATTATAATGAAAAAAAGGTTAACTATTTAAAAAAAAAACTGATGATTTATTGTCAAATATTTTATTCAGTTATTTTTATATTTATTTTTAACCTAAAAATGAAATTTTATTAGTAAAGGAAGTCGTACTGGTGTTGCATTTTTTAACTTGTTATCCATATCATAATGTATAATTGTTACTCAATATGTGCCTAATCTCAATGCACCCTGTCTCTATGTACCTCCCCCTAATATGATGTTATTAAGATAAAAGTATAAAAAATGTACTTATTAATAAAATAAATTATGAACGTAACATACTAAAATTTGTATTTATGTGTTTTAAATAAATAGAAATAATCAATTCTTAGTATGTGTGAATAAGTTTAAAATTGTCAAAAACAAAGTGAATATTATTAAGTCTAATTATTACTTATTTAATAATGACAATGTCGTTAAAATATTTCAGTCCAACCAAAACTTTATTAGCTCAATATTTATATACTCCATTATATTATAAATGATTATCATTAAAAACTTCTTTAATTTAGATGAACTCATTTGTCTCATTGTACCCCTGTTTAAACCCTAAATAAAATTTGAATAAATAAGACTTATATTGTTAAAAAAAGTTGTCACTACAAATATAATTTAATAGGCAGTAAAACTTCACATTAAAAGCTTGTGAAATGTATAAATGAAAACTATTTTTCCTTCTAAAATTATTATAAATAATTTCACAACTTAAACTTTACATCAATATTATATAGGAAAACAAAAACTTATATTTAAATAAAATAGTAACAAGAGTTTCTATCATAAATTATATCTCTAAATACTTACTCTTTTGAATTTAATAATCTTGTCTCGGATATTTTCTCGACAACAGATTTTATTATGTCTACTTTATTTTGAGAAATTTTATTTTTTTTTTCAATTTTTGTATTTGAAATATTATCATTTTTATTGAAAACCCTTTCTTCTATTTTTTTTGATTCTGACCTGGTAACATACTTCTTAGAGCCCTTAAAAAATAGAAATTGTTAATATTTAAAACCCAAAACAATTAAAAGTAATTACTAATAATGATATCAAGATTTTCAATAGAATTTCTAATACATTTAACTAAAATACTGTTTACGTATTTCATTACTACATTTAACATTTTGATTTAAAAAAAATTAACAAGAATAAATATGTAAAACAAAGTACATATTAAATGTGAATAAAAAAGTAGAATACCCCTTTTTATAATTAAAAAAAAAATAAATTAATTTAGTGACTTCTAGTAGCGACTATTTAAAATCAAATAATTTTTATTTTAGCACAAATTTTGCTAAACACAAAAAGATAATATAAATCTATTATTGTTTAATAAAAAATACAATATTTACCCAAACATTTTTATGCTAGCTAAAATATGATGCTGAGAAGGAATTATGAAAATAATTATATAAAAATAATTATTTTAATTCAATTTTTACAAAACTAAAAAAAATACTAGCTAGCTAATAATTCTTTGAAGTATAATTAATAATGGGTAATGTTTATGAATTAGCCTCATTTAAAAATCAAAAGTAATATTTCAAAATTAATTATAATGTAATTAATATATCTGTTTAACATAATTGCAAGTGATAAAATAAAAATACAATAATCCACAGAGACATCAATTTAGATTACTTTGACAACTGTATGGCTAAATGAGGTCACACAAAGAACTTGCATTACTAAAATGTTAATTCAAATAAAAGATTAAATACATATTGTATTCATATCACGGCAAATGTTAAATTTATATAGGTTTTTTAAATCATATAATTACATTATTTGCAACTAAATCCACTAAAGCTGTTCGCTTTTCTGTATGGCGACTGTCCTTGGAATATGGTTCAGTTTGATAATTTCTTCTCAACTGATTTCTTGTAATTGGTGGCATTCTGTAAAAAACATTAATAATTTAATTGAACGTAATATTTATTTATTATATTTTAAAAAATAATAAATTTTCATTATTATTCAATAATTGAGTTTTAACTCCATTCTTAATAAAATTATCTGAAAAGTAAAAGGTTTGTTTTATTATAACATTAATATGTCATACTACACATAGTCTCCCACCACCGTGTTTCAACATCTTTAATAACTTTTGATCCAACAAATATTTTGTGTTACTTTTTTTCTAATGTAAAAGAAAATTGAATTTTTTTCAAGTTTTAAGTCACTTTTAGTACTTTTCTTACAAAAAATTTTGATGAGTCAACATCAATTTCAGGATAATTACTCGTATCAAGTTACAAGCTTTTTACTACATAAAGTGGGTATGTAGCATACAATACACCAATACGAGCTGTACTCACCCATACGTTACATACCCACAGTATGTATTAAAATACTTATATTTCAATTAGTACTTATCTTAAAATTGTTATCGACTCACATAATGGCTAAACACTAAAAAGTTTAAAAAACAAATTATTTGCTGGATTCGAAGTCATTAAAAATATTGGATTATTGTAGGACATCTTTTATAATGAAAATTGACATTTCCAATTGCTCTTCTATATTTATAAATAGAAAATAAATTACTTATTAGCAGATTAAATCAGTAAAACTAAACAAATCTAAACCTTTTAGATAAAAGGGTTTTAACTCGATAATGAAATTCTATGTAACTAATATAGTTAATAAAAATCAAATTATTATTATTATTATTAATATAATAAAATTAATGTAAAATAATGAAATATACTACATATATAACTTATAACATTATTAAATATTTTTTCATACACCGAGGCTTATAAAACAATAAAATTAATTTAAAAAACTAACATTAACATTGTAATTTTTTTTTTTAATTCAAAATAAATCTAGTAAAAATATCAAGCATAAAAAAAATATTCTTTTTTTATTATAATTTACAATTTTCTTTTGTTAAACTACAAAAAAAAAAAAATATTAGTAAAAAGTTGAGTATATCAAGTAAAACAACATCATAAAACCATTGTGTTAATCTATAGAAAATTATCGAATTAAAATATTTATATAATAAAATTATATGTTATATCAAAATACTTAAAAGCAATAGTTTTGTAATAGATTTAGCCATTAAACAAGGACAGTAATTATTCAAAAAATAAAATGACAATAAACACACGGATAATTTCACTTTTATAGTTGTAACGGTGGAATAAAACAACTACATACTTTTATTTGTAAATTGCCGACTAAGTATGCAATTCAGCGAAAAACATTTACATATGCAAAACACAAGACATTCACACGCAAAATATTTCACAAATTATTGCATTTTCGCTGATGTTCTCTGGACGATAGTGATTTTATTATGATGTGATTTTTACATGGGATTCATAACATAACTCGAGTTTTTTTCGTGACATCCGTATTACAAACACAACAAATCAAATATAATAACAACCGTTAGGCGTTATCAAGTGGTATACCATGGTATACTACTAATGATAACAATTGAAGCGACGTTACTCAATCATGGTTAATCTAATTTACAAAGATGTATTTTCATTTCTATTTAAATTCAATGAAACCCCGGGAACGTTTAATTGTTTACCATTAATAAACTAATTCAAATGAATCATTTTTTTTTTTTTTTATGAAAAGTAAACGTATGTCTGCGACAATAGTGGAAATAGTTTGATGATTAATACACAAATATTCAAACAAATAGACGTTGTGTAAAATAAGATTTTCCTAAAATTACAGCGATTCATAAGCTACAAATATGGTGGTGAGAGGGTGAAAACTTACTTTTACCGATTGAACGTTTTTTTTTAAATTGTAACTTTTAGTTAAAGTTATTTTTGGTACCATACTTTTATATTTAATAACGACCGACTAAAACTATTGATTTTACCAAGTGGAAATGTGTAACTCGACCTTCATGCCCACTCTGGGATGACCATACCTAGGATATTGTTGAATAATATAATATAATATATTAGTAATATTTATACAACAAAGTGAGATCAATAAACCTCATTAATATTGTCTAATGGTTTGTATAATGCAGTACTCGAAATTTTAATTACATCTTTGAGTATTGCATTGTATAAGAATTTTAAACAGTACTATTTCGAGTTCAGGCATGTAATGTCTAAAAATAATAATTCCTAATATTGCTTATAAAACTAGTGATAATTTTAAAATGTTCATTTTTGCATACATTTTAAAATAATATTAAATTGATTTATAATATAGATAAGTTTCGTAAATTTAGTTCCGCTATAGGATAAGAAACTATTAGGAGAATTAATAAGTCGAAAATTATCCACGGATACGATGTAGGGACGCAAGAGCGAATAATATCTTCTCTTGGGATACATATTATGTATTCCAAGCGCACCTGAGCCGTGTAAAACCTAGAAGTTAAAATTATTAAGGCATTTTCGGTATTTTTATGATGAAAAAACCACGTAATTATAACACGGTTTATAATAAATTTGTTACATTAATATCTATCAGAAAATCTATTATTTTGTAAACTTATATGTTTTTAGTGTAATGAAACGTGCGTTTGTTTCATCAGATCTTTGATTTTATTTGAGTGATTTCAGACATGGGAGTGCTTTTAATTTTATGTTATTTTTGAATATTTAATATAAACATTTAAAAACTCGCGAATAAATCGTAGTTCTTTAGTGTTTAATATTTTAGTCACTCATAGACAACAAAATTTAAAAGTTCTCAATTTAAAATTAAAGTTATCTAAAACTAAAAAATAAATAAACAAAATTACTATTTAGTCACTTTTATTACGCGACTGCAACAATTTTAACAGTTTTTTCATCGTCATAAGTTAACAAAACCTTTATTTTACTAAATGAGAGAGATTTTTCGACGGGGTAGTGTACCGAAGGGTAAAGTTGACATTTGACGACCGCCATGACACCGGGACTCATTTTAAAGTGTACAGCCTTACTACACAGTATCAAGCTTTGCTACGGTTGGGACGTTTCTCAGCATATTGTGGATGCGCAACAGGATGAACGTTCAACAATAGAAGGGACAATTTTGTGAAAATCAGTGATCAAATACTAAGGATAACCCAAGGAGAACAAGATTGAATTAACGAGGGCCCATAGAAGATTATTTAAAAACCTTAACACTGAGAATGAGACGTCTAATTGTGAACCGCGGTAGTAATTGGAAACATTAGTGTCCCGAGTAGTGAAACCCAACCACACTAACAACGGGACGCTTTATGAAAAATCGTAAACTAGCAGAAAAAGACGAAAGAGAAGCCATCAAGCAGAACCAGAAGTCATAAGACCAACGTCTTGTGACTTTTATTTTAGTCAGCAACGCGTTATCGTTCTGAATTACATTGCGAAAGCAGAGATTTAATAAAAAAAAATCTATACGAACAAGAAAACGGGCAAGTTCAAAAAAACAAGCACGTTACACTTTTTTATTATAAAATTCGGCATGCAGTGCGCACAATTAGGAGATGGTTCCGAGGGGCAATAACTCTACCAAAAATTATTAAAGGCGAGTTTTAATATTAAAAAGAAAAAAGAATTTATATACAATGTTATATGGTATATATATAACACAGTATATATAGTGTTGAGTAATAAGAAAAACCCGTTTTCTGTTGTTCTCATTGTTTGTAACAATTGACCCGTTTCCCTATTTATTGAACACTACGTACTGTCAACCAACAATCAATAAAAAAAAAAAAAAAAAATGCTATATTCTAATATTGATGGTTACGATATAAATTATATTTTGTTCTTCGTTTTTTAATCTTAAGATTATCATTATAAGTTTGATGATGCTCGGGTAAAATAAAGTTGACTTATTATGAAAAACGCGATGAGAAAAAAATATTAACCACTTTTTGCTTTTTCTTCATAAATATTATTTTAAGAATGGGAATATAAGAATAACATCAGAAGCGCCAAAATACATGTAGCCACCTTGTGCACAACGAACCATAAGGTCTGGGTGCATGGGCAGCACTGATTATTGGGTGGACAACCTTTTAATAATTAAAACTAAATTCTTATTTTAAAATAATTTTAATATCGATGGTGTATCTATAATTTATTATTATTTTATTAATTTGGATAGATATAAACGTTAGTTTTTTTATTTCACCCAAATATCACATTTATGAGATTGTCGTATGCAAGAGAAATGAATAACTCTTGAATTCCAATAAGGATTATCCTACCTATACAGCAGAGATTACAGTTGTACGTATGTTAAATTATAGTTAATTGTATTTTAAATACGTAATTTTGCAAACTGTACTTTACACTTTAAAAGTTCTTTGAATTACACAAAGCGTTTAACAGATGGATTTAAATTTTTTTCTCTTATTCATTATTTCTCTATTTATTATTTTTAGTTAACTACTACTCATTGACTTTTCATTTAGGCGGCATAACTGATTTTTTTATTTAACATTAAATGGATTGATTTGTTATTCATAACAATCGGTAAACTTTTTTTTGGGGAGGGGCGATTGGAATGTAAACGCGATTATATTAGTAGCAACCTTCACTAGGCGTTATAATTTCAATTTTTCTCTTATTTATCTCGCATAATCGTATGGCTAAAACTTTGACCTTGAAGATAAACTTATAAACATATCAGTATTTCAATTCAATATTTTAGCCAGTGATATTAAATAACCGTAATTTATTGGTATCCGTAAGTGACGACGTGCGATAGATTGATAACCTAGTTTTCTTTTATTTTCATTACTACTCGTACAATTATACAATAAAGGAGATGATTTTTAACACGTTATACTCTCTATATGCAAGTTAAAACGAGACATTTCATATATTAATACGTACGAAAACTATTTTAGAACGAGATTAGGATAACTTTATTCTATTCAATAAAACTCTGGTAATAAACTTATATTTTAAATAAATTATGCATACGAGTATACATTTTATGTATAAAATAAATAAATAAATATATATATATATTTATTTATTAAATTTTTTCTTCAACATTATGTCGTAATAACATTTTTTTTTTTCAATAAAATATTTAAAAATTACATTATTACATATTGTTACATACTCATAAATTCACAAAATCATCTTTACAAAATCAAAAATAATTTTCAATTTAATGTATAAATTTTATTCATAAAAATATCTAGCATTTTCTTTGTGGCTTAAATTTACAGTTCTACTTTTACAAAAATTAATTCAAATGTTGTTAACATTTAATATTAATATTAAATATAAAATTTTTTGTAATAAATTTAAAATGTGCCGAGTACATAATTTAATATTAAATTTAAAAGATTTTTTTTCAT